AGAATTTAAACGATTTAAGTTAAAAAATATAGAAAATATTTGAATTTTTATCTTTAGCTAGAGATTTCTTATTTTTTCTACATAAATTATATATAAATTTATTTATTTATTTATTATGATGATGATTGCTTTAATTTGAATTATCAACTTTCATAATATATAATTGGTTTGTGAACCGTATGAACTCATTAATTAAATTCAAGCTTAAAATTAATTTGTGTATACTCATAAAAGTAACTAAGGTAGTTAACTCAATTTGTTTACTCCCCTAACTTCATCTATTAAGCTACATTTGTTTACATCATAGGATTTGATAGAGTTGAAGCTCCATGTTGATGGAGCGTCCAAAGGAGGCACTGGATTATATGGAGGGGGTGGCGGGCTAAGGAAGTCTTAAAGGCATGTAATTGCTACGCACCTTCCATGCTTTCTTTGGTATTGGCTCTTCTCTGATGAGCTCAGAGCGCTGCTGATGGGGCTCAGGATATGCGAGCTTCTGGGACTAGTTCCCAATAGATAGAATAGAGAGAGACTCTAAAGCCATCATTGAGTTGCTGCTCTCCAAATCTACTCCACTGTGGTCTGTTTTGCCCTGGTTAGAGAGGTGGTCCAGTTCCTGAACAGGTTCCGTCCAAAGCTCAACCACATCTACAGAGAAGCAAATGGCCTGGCAGATTCAAACTGAGGAGTTAGCTCCCTCAGCAACAAAGTCTACTTGGAGGAGAGTTCGATCCGCCAGAAGACACTGACGACTGGATAGGCTAGGCTGGCCACGTTACTTATAAACGCAGAACGAGCAATGAATCCCCAACGACACCTGCCCCGATTACCAAAGGAAAGAGAAAGAGGAAAACTGTGAAATGAGCATTCACTGAATAGTTCTAAAGGGTCGGAAAGAGAAGAAACATATTAAAGCATAGAAACGAATGAGCAAATACAGTCAGTCCAAAAGAAAAGAACTAACAGTATTACGCACCTTCATCCTACGACTAAGCACTAAAGATGAAATGAACCTTAAGCAACTTAGACGAGGCGCTAGAGTCGTGACAACCCCTAACAGCCCGTCTAATCGTCCTTTCTTTCTTAGACAGGCGAGATGGGAGGGCGCGACCGTATGCTCTCAGGTAGGAACTAAGTAAAGAGAACCTGAAATGAGTTCAAATTAGAGACATTTCATTTTTACGTCAACTCAAACCACTCAAGTGGTTAACAGTACTTTCGATCCACCATATTCACTCGGTAACTTGATAATATTATATGGGTTGTTTTCTTGACAAATTTTTATTTATTTATTACTAAAAGAAAAAAAAAATGGCCACTAATTTAAAAGACATTTTCAAGCATTTTCTAAGCATGATATTTTTTTTTTAAATATCATTTGAAAGGTGAATTTAGTAATAATATTTATAATAATATGTTAAATTTTTTGTAATAATTTTATCATCTTAGTATTGAACTTAAGTTTCAAAAACTAAGACAACATAAGAGTATTTATTGGAGAAATGTGTTTTTTATTCAATTATATTATAAAAGATTAAATATAGAAGTTATTTGTACAATTTATTATGCTAATTTGTGGAGGATATCTTTCTTGATATAAGAAGTCTTCAGAAGTATAATTTATCATTAAACATTATAAGCAATTAGCTCGACAATTATTTTTTCAAGTGGGGAGATTAAGCGTGGGGATGATATGGACTGAATAAACGGAATATTATACTTTGGGAAACTTTTGATGGTAGATTAGGCTATACTCATAATTATATGAAGGAAGGTCAAGAAATTAGAAAAATAGGCATTGCATGGCCATGAATGGATGAGACAAATTTTGATTCTATTTGTAACTTGATTTTTTATTACTTTGATTGTTTCCTATCAATATTAATTTGACGTTTTTTTTTTTTCTTTTACTCGCATTCATTATCAAAATATTCTCATTTTATATTTTTTATGTGTGCATACTTTGCTTATAAAAAGTTATAGCGGAAAATTATATCATTTTAATTTTGAATATGTTTTCATTTCCAAAAATTTTAGTAATAAAATAATGATGTTTTTTCTTTTTAATTTGATGAAATTTTAAGATCAAATTAACATTTAAAATATCATAATTTTTTTGTAGTTTATTCTTTATGCATGTATAAAGTATAAACACAACATTTATATTTATTATAAAATGACTAGCTTTTATTTTATATTTTTATGAACCCAAAAAAAAAATATTTTTATGAACCCATTTGCTTTTATAATTATGCACGTGGTCAATGTGGACTATGCTTTGACACTGCATTCCATTATTGCTCACAAATATGCCAATACATGCTCCAAACCCATCCATCCATACACAAAAAAACCACGGAGTCGAGAACGATTACGGCTGATGGGTCGGTCCTACACGGCCTACCCTAACAAGCCAAATGCACGTTCAACTTCTTGAAGCTCTGACGCCGGAACGGGCGAGCATGCACAGCCGTACAAGTGTTCCTCACGTGTCAGGATTTGATAGGTCCAACAAACGAACGGCTAGGATAAAACTGAACTCCTGGCCTTCCTGTGCTTTTTTGTCCGCCGTGTTTCCCTCCCCAGCACATTGTTTTTGTGGGTTAAAGCACAAATGATTAGGGGGTGGCACAAAAGCTTTTGACCATTGACTATGTTCATCAAGAGAGAAAGTTGCTTATAGATGATCATCGCTATGGATCATATATAAAGAACAAATTTGTATTCTATTTCCTATATATCATCATACCATTATATATATATTTTTTAATGTTGAAATACTCTATGTGACCAATAGAAAAAATTTAATATATACATATTAGGATATTCTTGGCCTCAACACATCCTCCTGTGGGAAATTAGCTTAGGTTTTTGAAAAAATGATATTCTTTGATGCTCAAATGCATATGGATCATAATACCTTCTTCTAATAAGGAGGCTCCAATCAATACCCTCTCAAAAAAATCTCTCTATGATTGATCAAGTGGCTTCTAAAATTGACTTCCATAGATTCTTCTAACTATCATAGATATTCCTAGTTATGTTTTTGCTGTGGAAGCAATGGAACTGGAAAAACATAGAAAAAAAGTAACATGAAGAAGAATTAAACCAGTCTTGTTTTCTATTAATCTGTGTATATGCCTCCACACAATTCCAACTGTTATATGTATTAACCTATTCCTCAAACGTATTTTTAAAAAAGCAAAAAAAAAAAAAAAAGAAAATATATCATGTGTTATAATACTATAGTTAGTTAAGAGAATAGTGAGAAGAGTAAGTGTAGATAAGATGAGCCTGAGGAGCAACTAAGACAACATGTGTCCACATCAGTTTTCATCAGTTAATATCCTTGTTGGTAAAGAAAATAATTTTAATCTTTTCTCAAAATTTATCTCACCATTTAGTGTAGAGCTAAATATAGGTTCCAATCCTTTTAGAGATTTGTGAATGATTTTCTTAGATTTGATGATTACAACGTTCATTAGAATGAGGATATCTTTTTGCACCATTCTTATAACCATTACGATAGAAGTGATAAAAAAAATGATAAATACTTAAATAGTTAGTGGTATACCTAAAATGTTTTTTAAGATGTTCCTAAATATAATTCGTCAGAAAGGAAGACTGATCAAGCTAGGTTTATTGTTTTCTTTTGTCATTTTTTTAAAGTAATTAATGTGTGTCCTTTTATTTGCTTGAATACTCTTTTTTACAGTTATATATATATATATATATATATATATATATATATTGTCCTATCGCCCGTTCAGCTGGCTCCACAAATGAATTTCTGACTTTAGCCCCACCTGATCAGGAAGAATAAGTGCATTATCCTGTGAGAATGCAGAACAATTTATTCAATATTCTCATAAAGCTAACTCAAACCATTATTCTATTCCAAATTTGGAGCATATGGATAATCTGCCGGGAGGGGCCAAAATAGTAATGATTTCCATGTTAATTCCTATATTACTTTTGAGAAAATGATTGAGCTTGAAACATTAATGAAGCAAATTAATTTGGAAATTGGTGTGCTTTTGGCTGCTTAATTATACATAACATGAGATATGAACGTATGATAGAAATCCATATTTAATTATATGAATATAGGAGGACTTTTATCGATTATCTTAGCCTTCTCCCCTCACAATATTATTAATCTTATATCTTATAAAAAGTGTAATGGCACAAGAAACCTTAAGATAAATAAGGTCAATTATATTGATTTACACTGCTTGCAGCTCAAAATTATGGGTTGTTGCCCCCACTATAGATGCTTTCTTAAACTTAACATAATGGAAAACTAGCTTAATTATGTTATGTGGGGGTTTACCTAAATAATAATCTATGCAAATAAAATAATTTTTTTTATTTGAAGGAGGTAACTTAATTAGAATGATTTGCTTAATTATTATATTAGCTTGATGTGGAGTAATTCAGTCTCTTCATTCTTTACACTAATCCATCTTAATTAACTTAATCTACTATATATTTTATCAATAAAAAGGGGATGATATTAAGGCTTAGTTTGAAACGGTTTTCTTATTGCTTCTTAAATCAGTTTTTTAGTATAAAATTTTATTTGTTGTAGTAGAAAGCTGCTTTAAGAAGCAATAAGAAATCCTTCTCAAATGAAGCCTAAGTCGAGAATTAGAAGGACACTACTCAACAACAAAGCTTGAAGGTCAATTTTAAAAGTGGATTTTTTTCTTAATTCTATATATATTTTAAAATGGATTTAAGTCAAACAAATTTTGTGCAAATAGATTTTTATTCATAAAGTTAAATTTTATTTTGAGTGGATTAACAATTTCAGTAGCAGCATGGGATTCTAGAGAGACAAAACAGCTTCCTTTTGGGTTATTATATTTCTAGCTAGTTTGCTTCCCATTACGCAACTTTGAAGCGGTCAAAGACGCAGCAGCAATAATGAAAGATTAAACACCAAAATCATTTGAGAGAAAAGGAGAAATTAATCACATTCTCAATGCCGGCTGCAGTGTGAACATAAAGAAAACTGTGTGCTCAATTCTTGCTGTTGCTTTGATTTTCACATTAAAAAAAGTGATTTTTACACCTAAGCCAACGGGTTTTCAACACAGTAAGTATAAAATATTAGCCCGCTATCGCCTCGCATATTTTGCTTCTCTAACCATCAACCTTTCTGTGAGAAATGTATTGAAAATATGTTGGCTTGTGTGTAATTTACATGTAACATCGCTAGCAACACATCTAATAATTACAAAATGAGCTCACTTTCTCTTCTTATGAAATATTCCTAAGCCAGATCTAATTCCCTCTCCTTAATTCCTTTCTCGATGATCAATTTACATGAAATCACTTACATCTAGCAAGTCAGGAATCTCGAAGTTAAACAAGTTAGCGCTGCTATAGCTATCCTGATCATGCTCTGTACTGCTGTTGAGATAAGTGGAACAATTAGAGTTGTTCAATGTTGGGCTCGACGATGGAGTTGATAAAACAGAGTCGTGAGTCATGTTGTAAGGAATTTGGAAGTCGAATGCCTGACCATCTTCTTGTACGAAGTTTGGTACCATGAACTGTCCCATGTTATCGTTATAGCTAACATTATTATCAGTCGCCGCCGGCATAAAATTGTCGCCCAAGTTGCAAACGTTAGCTCTATTACTTTGCCATCTGAACTGTTCTGAACTGTCCAAATCAACATTTTGGGAGTTTGATTGAACCAGATTTTGAAGCTGGTTGTAGGATGAAATGAGATCATGCTGGCTTGTTGAGAGATTAGGCCCCTGCTGTTCTTGGACTTGGACAAGATTTGTATTTTGGCACTGAGACTGCAGGAGATTTGAGGCGAACCTCAGAAGTTCGGAGTTCACGAGAGGCTCGATGCCAAGCAGCCTTGACAAATCCGTTTGCCCTGGGTTGTAGAGCATTGGGTTGAGGAGCGAGGATAGATCTAAGAGATCTAACCGGGGGAAATGTGTCACGGGGTCAATCCCCATTCGAAGAAGCCTCTTTCTGATATGTGTGTTCCAGTAGTTTTTGATCTCGTTATCGGTTCTTCCTGGGAGCTGTGCAGCTATGGCGGACCACCTGAATTCATTCACCATGCAAAAGCGCACATCAATTAGTTTTTGATCTCGTTATCGGTCATTCCAACTGGTGAAATTGACGATGATATACGACTATTCAAGAAATACTTACTTGTTTCCTAAGATACTATGTAATTGGATGATTGTTTCTTCTTCTTCAAAGGAAAATCTTCCCCTCTTGATGTCGGGGCGGAGGTAGTTTGTCCACCGGAGTCTGCAACTCTTACCGCATCTTGAGAGCCCTGTTTTTTTATAAGTTATTTAGTATTTGGCAGCGCATGATTAATGAAACAATCAAGGATATATGTGATTGACTTCCGTGGAATGTGGAAGCCACTTACCAGCGTTTTTTGGGAGGGTTCTCCAGCTTCCATGGCCATTCTTCTGTATGTAATTGATGAGCTTTTGATCCTCCTCTGGCGTCCATGGTCCTTTTTTCAACCCATTCTTATCACAGCAAGGAGCTCTTCCCATTTTTATGTATACAACTTGCTTCAGCTAATTGTCAATAGATAGATAGGTAGAGAGAGGTAGAGAGAGAGAGAGAGGAATTGAAGGAGCTAGCTTGGAGGGGATGAGATTAATGGAAGTCGAATAGAGAAAGGCAGCGTTGGAATGAGTTATATAGGGAGAAGAAGACGCCAAGGAGAAAGTCAAAAGGATTCGGTGCCGGCCTTTGTTTATCATTAAGGCGACGTGGCTCGTTAATGAAGGGACTTAACACGGCGGAAAGAGGATTAACAAGTTTATAACAGTTGAATTAAGGAGGCCCGAAAGGTGATTAAGAGGCGCAATCAGGTCACTCCGCGCTTTTCAAATAGCTGGCGTTGACCAGCAGATGCCACGTAACCCCATTATTGATTGAGAATGGGGCCCACGGCTTTGGCTTTCTCGCGTTTCTCTAGCGTTTATTCATTAATTAATATTATTTCATTTTTGCATGCCTACGGTATTTCAATTGACCGTATGGCTGTGGCAGTCGACACATATGTTCTTGCGTCATATGCTCGCGGTAATTAATTTGCGCGCTATGCGTAATTAACGATAAGGTAATTTTTTTTCTTTTAAAAAAATATATAGGGTAATAAATGTCTCATCATATGAGAAAAAAAAGAAAGGCATACGTGGCATTTGAGTTACGTAGCTGGTTATATGTGTCGATTGATGAGTCGAAGACATGCTATGCTGCTTGTAAAATTTTCTCACTCCAAAATTTCAAAGGCGACTGTCTAAGAATTGCGTCTCGTATCGGATTACCCTATAAATTTGTCTCCGATAGTTAATTATGTTTCGATGGTGGAAACATTTGGAAGAGAAGGAAGTTGTGTCAGAGAACCCCACCGGATTTAGTTGCGTTAGCGGACAATTATGATTGGGAATCTTCAATTCATGTTTGATTCCCCTCTCAAACGGTATGATCTCTTAAGTGCCGAGAAAATAATTACGGGATTAGTTACGCGGATTAGTTACGCCGTCAAGCATCTCCTATGAGGGTGGAAGCGAGTAGATACCCCCATTCAAAAAAAAAGTTGTGCCAGAGACAAAAGTTGAATATTGAAACCAATTAATTGATTATTTATTTGACGCATTTTTCTCACCAATTAATTAAGTTGAGCATAAATTATCTCAATTTTTCTAATAAGATGAAAATTGATGTTTATTTTCACCTAAATTATATTTACTATCATATCTATATAACATTCTTCAAATTCCTTTTAAAAAATATTTTAATTCACTTTGATGAGAGTGAATCTTTATGCAATGGTCATATTAAAAAGATTCAAAATTAAATTTATAATCATTCAAGGCCAATTTTTAGCAAACCTAGCCTATAATCAAATTGAGCATCTTTACAAAAAAAAGAACCTACTAATCGACACCAAAGCTTACGGATTCAATTTCAACTGAGCCTAAATCAAGCATTTGAAAAATAGGTAAATTTTTTGGGACATGAATTGGAGGACCAAATGGTCTCCAAAATTTATATCATTATATATGCTTATAGCCAAAAGGAGCAGTTCGATGAGACTAATCCAATAATCCTAAGATCACTCAATTATGAGGTCATGAGACATGACCTAGATGAACAAGCAATCCATGATCTAGATGCTTACAATCAAAACGAGCTACTATATTATAAATAAACGGTATAAGATCAAACGATTTGATATAAGCCATCTGATAAATTGTAATAGATTTTTGGCTAAATTTATAAAAAAATAATCAGCTTAAATGCACTATAAATAGACACCCATTTTTTCACATGAAAGGGGCTTAGACTTTAAGTTTAAAGAGAGCATGAAGATTGTAAGAACTCTAAAGCTCTGCTTAATGTTCGATGGCAACCACAGTCGTTGCTTGATTGTCTTTGCCTAGTTGTCATCATTCGATAGTCACCCCCACTCATCATTGTCCAACTATTACTTTTCAGTCATCATAATCTATCTAGCTACCTATGTCTGCCCTTATGTGACTGCCATTATAAAACCATCATCGCTCAATTATTTATCATCTTGTTATTGTCATCCTTTTATTATCACTTGACTAACACAATCTAACTATTGCATATATCTGGCATTCCCTCTCACATTCATAAAAATAACAAATGTATTACATACTTTATATTCCAATCTTCTCTAATTGAGGGGAAGCGTGAACACTTGTAACATTTTTATATAATGGGTTAGGTCTCATATGCATTTTTTTTCTCCCTTCGTATTCTGCATATAAATACTTTGTTGTCTCTCACTTTTTTTTTCTCTATGTATGTGTTATATTTTTATGAAAAACTAAGATATAAAAAATATACTTATCCTGCAAATTTCTAGCATGCAATAATCCTAATATTATGTATTTTTACTATGAAATTCATAGGATATCTACTGATTGTTGGGGGATGCACGTATCCAATTTTTTTTAGTAGTATTTATTATCTTTCTGTATATTTTTATTCGTCGCTTTTATTTCATGCTTTTGTCTTGTCTAAGAGAAGGATTGATTGGCTTTTTCTATTTTTTTTTCCCATTTTTTTGTACTTTTTCATCCATCATTTTAAAATCGTCACCTTCAAACAAGAGAGACAGATTGCTCGGTCATCGTCTTCTTATACTGTTAACACCAACAATACTTGCATGGACTAAAAATTTTACTCTATTTTTATTGACGATTTCTACGAAGAAAATTTTTTTTAGTTGAACTACACAATTTTGTTCTCTCTTTTGAATGTTTTCATATGAAAATTATGCACCTCCTTATTACCTAAAATTATTAGGTGCAAATAACTTTATCAACCTATTTAATTACCGCTAGATATTTTTACAAAGTACTATCCTTACATAATAATTTCTCCTCCTGCTAATTTTAATTTAATTTTTTTATTATGTGTTAACTATTATTAATTTAGAACTCTCTTTATCAACCTAATTTCGAGAAGAAAACAATCAAATCATTGTCAATGTAAAAATATCGAGCAGCGCAATTGTTTGTTAAGCTTCATATATATATATATAGTCCCCTTATTTGATTTCTTTTCAATAAGTTTGCAATCTCTCATTAAGAGAATTAACTTTTAAATTTATGTTAGTTGATTAGTTCAAATATCTTTGAAAATTTTAAATGGAAAGCAAATAAAACAAATTTGGTACTTAATTAAATAAGAAATCAACAATGCATATATAGATGTGGACCACCGCCCAAGCGGTCATAAGATGATGCGTTGTCAGTGTCCTTATCACCATGATATTAGTATTTCCTTCTTTTCTTCCCTTTTTTATATTAATATTTATACATGCAGGTGTTTAATTAAAGATATATTTGGGAAAATTTTATAGCTGCTTTGTGTTTCTTTCATTATTTTAAAAAAATTTTATGGTAAAAATTTACTTTCTATAATTAATTAATTATAATAGTGAAGTTATTTTCTGCACAGTAACTTCAATCAACTTTACAAAATGCTGCAGTCGTTCAAAATAAATCATAATTAGACTTCGTTTGGGACAACTTTCTCACAATTTTATTTTTCATATCACAATCATAATTTCTATCTAATCACCATTTTTTGATTGATTTCAAATTTTTTTGTGGTATTAAGAATATACTTGCTATAATAACTTCCAAATAAAATTATTCTCGTCACAATTACTTTTATATAAAATCACAACCTTCTCAAACAGATCCTAAATTCCAATGAACTTTTATTACGTCCTCTGACCGGACGTAGCTCTACGTTCGGTCAGAGGATTGTTACTCTGTTTTTGCTCGGTATTTGGTCGGTATTGCTAGGTATTGTTTGGTAATAACAAGGAATACCGCAATGTGAAGACAAAATACCAAGTAATACCGAGCAATACCGAGTAATCCCAAAAAATACGGAGTGTTTCTAGAAAAAACTCGGTATTTTTTGGGATTACTCAGTATTGCTCGGTATTGATCGGTATTACTCGGTATTTTGTCTTCACATAATGGTATTTCTCGTTATTGTTGGTATTGCTCGGTATTTGTTCGGTATTTCTCGTTTTGTGCCAGCGATCTTAGTGCCGGCCGAACGTAGCTCTATGTACGTTCACCGGACCAAATAAAAGTTCAAATTCCCTTAACTCTTATCCACAAATAACACCGATAATAATGACATCCAATAAATTAAACGGCTCGCTGATCTCATTCTATAAAAAAATTTCAAACAAAATGACTTTGGATCCTCGGGACAACGTGTCCATCTCGGTTCTTCTCTTTTTGCCCAAAATACTATAATTATGATTTAATAAAAATATTAACAATGATTTTCTTGATGAAAATAATTATTAAAAACGTATTAACGATAAGTCATTGTGTGTCAATCAATTTAATAAAAATGAGGGTTAATTTCTGCTGGTGAAGAAGGATGATCGAACACTTGAACATTTTCCAAATATGGGCTCCGAAATAATTCGGATTGAATTAGGTTTGCCAATTTATTATTTTAGATTTAGGTTTAGAACAGCACATACGACGTGGAAGTGGTCAGTCAAGTGATTTCATTTCATTTATTTGATTCAAATTCTAGCATGTTCTATAGCATTTATTATTTTAGTTTCGTTTGACTTTTTATAGGTATAAAAATAGGCGAAGAAAATTACCGTACAATTTATTTATTTTTAATTTTGTTGTGCCTTCAAATATTTGTGGCCGTAGAAAGATGTAGAAAGATATAAAGTTTAGTGTCTTAGCATTGTACAAAAATTTAGCACACAGACATATAAGAGAGAGGGGGGCAACATTTATAAAAGAGATTATATAAACTTTAATTTTAACAAATTTATGGTCCAAATATGTGATTTGGCTAGATGACCCCAATATACAAAACAAATTCTTGAATTTGAGCTCAAATAAACATAAATACAAAAGTTCGAAGCATAATTCAAAATTATTGAGGTCATTTGAGAGATCAGATGAGTCTAACTTTTGTAGTCTTATAGTCAAAATAAGGACCTTGAAAAGGCAAATTCAACATCCCTAAAATCTCTTATTTTGGAGTACATTAGGGAACTAAAATGAGTAACCCCTCGATGGCTAGGGTTTTCTACCGTCTTCCTCTTCGCTC